CTCAGTGCCCAGAACAAAATTCGCTTCTGCTTGCTTCCCCAACCGAATTACATCCGCAATTTCTGGCGCTGCCCCATCAGCACATTACCCGCCGATGCGATTCATGGATAGGATACGCAATCGGCAACTTGTGCGGTACAGATACGAAAACACCTTGCTCCAAACCCAACCAAGCTGCCCCGAGAAACGCAGCCCGCGAGTTTGGACGCAACAAGAAGTTACAAGATAGATACGCGCGATACCAGCTCAACCCCTTTGGCTTCTATTGTTCTCCTTGTATCGCCAGGTAAATTACCCCCATTTTCCGACACTCCCCTCTTACACCGAACACCCGAACGGTCAGCCCATCCGGCCGCTTCCCGAGCTCTCTCTCAAAGGGGTAAGCTGCCCTAATCCTGGTCGGAGAACATGTCCACCCTTGACCCCCCAGCTGTCATGGAACATTCCTCCCCTTCTACCCTTCCCCATAAGCCGGGGAGTATCTGGGAGCTTGTTTGGGGCTAGCCAACATAGCAGGACGACACCGACAGAGGAAGAAAAAAACAAGACGCGACACAACATGAAGGCTTGGCCCATCGCCTAGTTAGCTGCCTTTTCTGTGGACAAGAAATTTATTTTGCCCTGCTTCGAGTAAGGTACATCACCACCCCCAAATGTCAGTGTACATACCTCTTCTGGTACATCAGACGGCTGCTCCTCATAAATCATAAATAAGTCCGGCCATTTCCACTGAGACAACGTCTTGCGCAATCGTCCGCACTCAGTCCAGTCATCTTCAGCCAGATACTCACTGATTGCCCGTCTCAAACCTCCGATTGTCATTAGATTACGACATTGCACATCGCAAGCCTCAGCGTGCCAGCTCCGCACTCTTCATCTGCCTCTTGTTTGCTTTGGATCTGGCCGTGTCTCTGTCTCTGACCCTCTTTCCTCCCCCAGTCGTGCTCATCTCCCTTTCTTCGTCCATCCTCAACCCCTGACTCTCTTCCCCACGCCTTCCGTTGGATTCTCTCCCGGCTGCTGCAACCTTACCCGTGCTGCGTTGATTCGGCCCTCTGCCCATAGCCCACACTTTCGACCATTCGGTTGGGTCTTTTGCCCAAGCATTCCACACACCCTCGCCGTGTTTGCGCACCGACTTGCCCAGCCTTTGGGGCCGACGATACAAGGAGAGGAATTGTGAAATCTCTGTTACGGATCGCGCACAAACGCCCGGCCGCACCCTTTCCTCTGTCTCTCTACTGCTCGGTCAGCCGATTCTGATCCAGGCCGTCCAGTTTAAATATTCCGCCATCTGCACTCACTCAGACCCGGCACACTCCAGCTACACACCACATCAACCTCACATCAAGGCCATCCCTCTCCACATTACCGCCTGTTTCGGCACCTACATCAGCCTCTTCGTAACTATCGGACAAGACAACGGACCCCGTTCTTCATAAAAAGACCCGTCTCTTCCCCGGACTCATCTTCTCGGATCCATCCTCTTCAGTACGTGGACCCCCGGAACCGGAGCATCAGCCAGCTGTCTCGTCTAACACTGCTTGCCAGCAACTCCCTCCATCAAAATGCCCGCCAGCCAGATCGCATCACCTCTTCCCATCCCTCCCCAGAGGAGGAATCTTCGTCTGATGACAGGCCAAGATCTTTATACCAGCCTGAACGCGACTCTGGCTTCAACCACCCACCGTCCGGTGACGCCTGTCCACATGATCCAAGAGCAGGACTACAGCGTCCCGGCGCCTCCACCGCCGAGTCCCGTCTCTTTTGCCGCAGAGCACTGGCAATCTTCAATTCGTCATTAGACACCAGTAGCCAGCAGAGGGGACGGTGATTAGCAAGGCAAGATATCCTGTTTGATACAGGATATATTCAACATCATGTACAATCAGCATACGGACGAACGACAACGGGAGTCTTGGGCGAATACGGAGCGGGAAAAAGTCATTTCATTTGAAACTGGATTTTTACAAAAGTAGGATTATCATGGGCATTAGGGTTTTCTTCTCAGCATTCTTCGGAGAAGCAGTAACAACCTGTACTGGCTTGAGACGAAGGACGACTTCTCGGAGCAGCTAGCAATCGGTTTCTCTCACTTCTGCGTATTGTTTGACATGCAGTCGTCGGCAAATTGAACCTAATAATGAAGACTCATAAGGTCGCTTCGCATGGATACGGTGTTTGGGCGCTCAAGGATGGTGACTCGTTCGATGAATCGTTCACCTTGCGCAAAAAGACCGTCCCATGTTTGTCCAATAGCGCTTCATGGTGTGATCCCCAGGTTTGAACACGCAGAGATCTGAGGCGGCCAGGGACAAGCAAGTGAGCAACGTCGGGCGATGCTTAAATAGCGACTGCCTAAAATGGATTGCGACGTCAACTGTCTGGGAGGAGCTCGCTGAGAAATGCCAAGCAGCAGCTTCACCGAGCTGGAGTATTATTTTTTTTATTACTTTTTTTCCCCTCCCGGTGCCCTTTCCCCCATTCCCCTGCTTGCCGTTTTGGTCTGTTGCCATGCCGTTGGGAAGGATGTTGCCGAGGTTGGCCCGTCACGGGAGCACGGACCATCCACACCAACGCGCCCCACCTCTTTACGCGACTTCCATCGTGAATTGCAGCCAAAACGCGTCCAGAAGTCGCGTCCGCGGCCCCTGACCGGGGCGCGTAGCTGCGATCCATGCTTGCTCATTTTGACCTCCCCACTCTACTTTCCAATATACAAAACCTCTGCACATACGTCGTGACTTCCCTGACGACCCAACGTTCCAAATTCTTCCCAATTAAGGACTTCAGTTGTACTTGCCAACTAACAAACCCCATCCCCTCCTTCCAGACTCCGTTCACCGTCCTATCGACCTCTACTCACCTTCCCAAGAGCTTTTCGATACAGACAGCAGCTGCACATCTCGACGCAATGGCTCGCGCAGCTTCACGCCGACAGGTCAAGCCTGCCGCGCCTCCTGCTTCCAACCTCATCAGCAAGTACACTCGCGTATCCAAGGCCCAGGCTCTTCCCGTGGATGATGCCGTGAAGAAGGCCTTCTACATTGAGCTCCCGACGCAGAGCATCTCGACCGCGGAAGTCACAATCAAGACCGAGGACTCTCCTGTCAAGAACCTTCCTACACCTCCTCCCACACTGTCCGCCACGCCGTCCAGGAAGCGCAAGGCGGCTTCCGTCGAAGAAAACACCTCCCCCGTCAGGAAAGCCAGGAGCAATGCCCCTTCGCCCGAGTCTCTGAAGCGTCAACGCATCTCCAAGGACGGCTGGAAGGACGAGCCCGTTCCCGCCAAGAAGGAGTTTAACTCTCCCAAGGCGACGACTACTTCCCCCAAGAACACCACTGCCACTGCCGTCGACGCCCACCGCAGGTCTCAAAAGTCGACCCTCATCTCCCACGCCAAGACCGAAGGACGCAAAGCCACGAAGGTCACGCGATCGAAGAGACGCAACGCCCCTACCGAGCCGACGATCGAGGAGGAGCCTGCGACGAAGCAACTGCCTGCCGAGCTCCTCGAGCTTCTGGACCTGCAACGGGCCATCCTGAAGACCGTCGCGCTCCAGATCACACACCAGAACAGCAACGCTCCGCTGGACATCAGCACCATCACTCCTCACATCACGCGGACATGGGGGAAGCGCAAGGTCACTATGGACGACATCCGCAGGTGCATCGCCATCCAAGATATGAAGCCTACTGGCCAGGAACAGCAAATGCTCGGGTCCCCGTTCATTGTAACCGACTACGGCCGCGGCAAGCTCTGCCTGGAGATGGACTTCACAAAGAGCAACGGCCGCATTGACGAGCAGAAGCTCTGCGAGCAATTCGAGGAGAACCTCCACATCGTCTGCACGGAGCGGGCTACCGACGAGATGACCGACCTGGACGTGTGCTTCGAGAACCTGAGCTTCAACGACCTGCCCAAGTCCGAAATCATCGTCCGCAACAACATCTTCAAGACAAACCCGACCCTCGCCAAGGGACAGCGCGCGCTGACCGAGCTCAAGAACGGCATTGTCATGAAGAAGCAGGAGCAGGAGGCCAAGACACAAGCTGCCAAGGCTGCTGCGACCAACCCCAACGGCACCAAGATGAGCCTTCTCGACAGACTGAGGGCCAAGGAGATTGCCAACTCGCAGATCGAGCTTCCCAGCGGCCCCGAGATGGTGAGAAGGCGGGCGCTGCACCGCATCGGCGACATCGCGGCCATCATCTCCATGCTCGTCGCTGCGTCAAACTCTGCTGGACAGCCAGTCATGTCTTTCCAGATGCCCGTTCTGCAGCAGAAGCTGAAGGACTCGGTCAGAGTGCCTATGCCTGTGGAGGAGGGCATTGAGACGGTGCGCATGCTGGCCACCGACGTCGCGCCAGAGTGGCTGAAGATTGCGAGAATTGGCGGAAAGGACCACGTCGTCATCCAGACAAGGCGCAAGCCGTATGATGCTGAGCTCGCGGCGAGAGTGAAGAGACTTTCTTGATGGACACACCAAACTTGTGGAGGATATATACAGGGTTTCGACTGACGACGCATGGCATAGCGTGTTTTTGCATATGGAGTTTGGAAGATACCACGAGTGCTGGAATTTGACGCGGGAGGAAATGGCTCACGTACATAGAGAGCCGCTGCGAGTCACGATACCAAATGCCTCGAGTAATGAAATAAAAGTTGTAATCGTCAGCCTCGGTGTGCCAACTTCATCTATTGTGCTGTAAAAACGTCTAGGAACCGTAACCTTCATAAAGCCAGCCGCAAGACATTTATTTTTCAGTCTTGTTCATGCTATGCAACCCCAGGTCGTGGAAAATGACCAAATTTCTTTTCGCCTTCCAAAGACCACAGACTCCCAGGCGTGGGAAGAGAGCAAGAAGGGGGGCCGCGCACGCCGTTCTGGCCCGCTTCGCTCCATAAGGTATCCCAATCGCTGCATCCCGTCGCTCTACCCCCCCTCCCTTCGGCGATCAGCCCAAGGCAAACAAAATGAAAACACCGCGAGTCGCTTATTTCTTCTTGGCGAAACGAGGGGCGCCGATGTCGTTGCCCCTCAGCTTGACGTTGAGGACACGCTCCATCGCGGCGAGGACCTTCTGGTCGGGGGCGGCGGAGCCGCGCTCGAACTCGGCGACAACGGTCTGGGTGGTGTTGCACTTGGTGGCGAGGTCCTTCTGGGTCATCTTGGGCTCCATCTTCTGGCGCGTCTGGGAGATGGCGTCGCCAACCTCCTTGCCGACGGTGTTGGGCTTGATGATGTCGTCGGAGCGGTCGACCTTTGTCAGGCGCTGACCCTCGACACCGGGTCTGGAGGACTGTCACGGAGCATCAAATGTCAGCAACCGATTCTGAAAAGTATTCAATTGCTTTGGGGCAGAGCTCAAGGCCGGGTTTGGCTTTGGGAGATGCCATCATGAGAGTGGGTCATGGAGGGGTTGGGCGCGGTGATGTCAAGGGCGCGAATTCTGGCAAGGAGGAAGGAGGAGGATGGGGAGGTTGGCAACGTACAGCATTGCCGGCAGCGAACTTCTTCTCAGTGCCAATGACGGAACCACTGCGCTGGGCGGCGTTGAGGGCGCTCTTTCCCTTGATGACAGTCTCTCTCGAAGAGGCTCCGCCGCGGGCCTTGGAGCCGATCTTGGTGACGTTGTCCCAGTCATCCATTTTGGCGGTGTCGTGTGTGTGGAAGGTATGTAGGTTGCTTAGGTGGTGCTTATCGGCGGGGTACAGAAAAGAACAGGTGTTGATGTTCTTTCCCTTTGGCTGTTGGTATTGTGTGGGTTTAGGTGGTGTGTAGGAGTTCACGACCCTTTCAAGTTTTTTGTTGCGTCAGTTTTTTTGGAATGCAGTCCCGGTTTGGCAGGCTGGAGGGGTGGTGGACAATGGCTCGGAATAAATATGGTGGTGGAAGACGATGGACGGGGATGGATGGCAAAATCGGTGGACCTGAGTCAACCAGCGGAGGGAAGAGGGGCGGCCATCCCTGCATAACGCAAGTGCGCCTACCTTAGGCGAAGAAGGGGCAGAAGGAGGAGGGATTTTTGGCGGGGTGAGGCTGCTGCTAAGCTGCCGGCTGCTTGCTTTCTCCAGCCCAGCGCCCAGCTGACGGGCCACGGCGCAGAACTCGCCCAACCTGCTTATTTTTACTCCCAGGTCAATGACTGCGCCACACGGAGACGGCGCTGCGGCTTGGGCAGCCAGAGGTCTGGCCGTAGAGGTGTCCCCAGGTGCTTGCTCATCGGACAAGACCGCTAAAATCCGAAAGCGGCCTCCTAGCTGAGTGACTCTTCCCCGGTTCCATACTGACGTCGGATGCCCCTTCGGCGTTTACTTACCCGTTGCACGATACGGTATCCTCGTCCTCGGCACGTGAGGTCTTCTTTGTCATCTCGAGTTTGTGACCACTGTAGTCTGTTTGCTTCTATTATTCTCATCATACCTACCGATATGCTATGTGCGTTACAGATGCAACTTCTGTTCAGTCAATAGGGCACGCATTGACTTCATACAACAAAACCTCATCAAGCAAACAATGCTCTGCCTCGAGATGGTTGGTGTGATTATCGTTCCCAGCTGACTAAGGCACTCGGACTCCCACTCTCACACTCCAAATGTCTTGATCTCATCGAACATGTGCATCGGCCCACAACCCGCACCTCCTCCACTGAACCGGAGCCAGATCTGGCCAAAGGAAACTGTTAGACCTGGTCGCACTCCACCCCCAAGACCACGATAGCAAAACCGTTTCTCGTTTGATAGCACTTGTTTATGTACCGTGCGCATTCCGTTCCCGCGAAGAAACCATGAACCCTTCTTCGTCGTAGAACTCCCTGGTGCCTCTGAGCGCCATATACTTAATTCACACTACCCACGCCGCGCCTTTGCTCCTCGGCCGCCCGGGTTACAACCTCCACTGTCCCGTCCCGTCTCACCCAGAGGCCCGGAACTCCTGTAAACCTTCAACAACATGCGGACCGCTGATCCGGGACCGCTCCGGCCATTCGCCCTGCTGGCGGGCCTCGGCTACTTTGCGCTCGCCGGCGGCTGGCTGGACACCCTCCTCGTGCTCGTCCTTTCAGCGTGGCAGAACCGGCACGCCGTCACGGACCTGGTCGAGGAACACGTAGACGCCGCAACGCTCCAGCATGCAGTCTACACGCTCCCCGGCGCCGCGCTCGCCCTGCTGGTCTTGGCGTTGATCCGCTTCGGCGGCTCTTTCTTGGAGGAGGATGATGGAACGAAAGCCAAATTCACGACGCCGATGCGGCCGTTGCTGATCCCCGCCAAAACGACGCATCGGCGGACGTTTCCCGAGAAGCACGACTTTGCGTACTCGTATCTCGTTGTCGGCATCCCGGTTGGCTGGACAGGAAACTACGGCGGCATGGTCTCGAGCGGGATTGACAAGCGCAACTGGTCGTCGTGGCTCGTCTCGTGGTTCTCGTTGCTGTCGCCGCCCTCGAAGGGATGGTTCGACATCGATCCGGCGGACTACCTCGAGAGGGGCAGTGGGCATCTTGGGCTGAGGGGGAAGCTAGATGCATACTTGACTTCCCAAGTACGTCGAGTCACTCAACTTCTGAGAACTGCATAGCTAACCTGAAGCAGGGCGCGGATCCGGCGCAGTATCCAACTGCCTATCTAGTCACCGCCGCGAGGTTTCTGGGATACCACTTTAATCCCGTCTCCTTCTGGTATCTCTATTCCAAGGAAAATGAGCTGACGGCCATGATCCTTGAGGTGAACAACACCTTTGACGAAAGGAGGATGTACTTCCTCACCTCGGACGTCATCTCTGCCGGCCAGCGTGTCGAGGGGAGCGAAAAGGTAAAGGCCTCCTCGCAAGACTCGCTGGCCAGCAATGAGTCCACGCAGACGTCGGCCGTGAGAATGACCAAGCACTGGCCCAAGGACTTCCACGTCTCCCCGTTCAACTCGCGAAAGGGCTCCTATTCCCTCTCGGCCGTCGACTTCTTCAGCACCGGCCCCCACGGCCTGCCTAACCTCGACACCACCATTACCTTGAAATCCTCCAAAGATCACCCAAAACTCATCGCCCGCCTCTTCTCGTCCGCCCCCGCAATCGACCCGGCCATCATGCCCCTCTCACAGAAGCTCACCTTTTTGTGCAGCTGGTGGTGGGTAGGCTTCGTTACCTTCCCACGCATCGTCCACCAGGCCGCCCTGCTCTTCTTCCGCAGGAGCCTGCACGTCTGGTTCCGTCCGGAGCCCCTCAAACAAAGCATGGGCAGGAACGCCGACGCGGCAGAACGAGGCCTGGAGCCCTTCTTCCGGGACTACCTCCGCCACCTCGTCGAAAAGTCATCCGCCGCCCTATCCGTGAAGTACACCCCCTCCGGCATCGCAGCTGACTTGGCGCCCACGGAAGTGATGCTCTCCCCCGCCGCCCAAAAGCAGCCGAAGCGCACAGAGGAACTGGAGTTCAAGGTCCTCACGCCGGCCTTCTACTCCCGCTTCGTGCACTACGCCCACGACCTCGAGGCCGTCTGCTGCGAGTTCCAGGACAACTGCACAATCCACATCTCTCGCCCCGACCTTCTTCCCAAACTCATCCTTAAGAAGCCCACCCCGCCGCTCAAGACGACAAACCTGATGGATTTCATCTACTTCAGGGCCATCCGCGCCCTTCGGAGGAGGCCTGAACGTATCGAGAGGCCGCTCACATCCAGCGCTACACCGGCGTCCTCTACAGCCGGCAAAGACGTGGAGAAGATTGACATCCGCGACTTCCGGATATCTTCGATGGACGGTTTCGTTCTCGGGGGCGACGACTCAGCAAAGCGCAGCGCATACAGGTCCCTGGTCTTGCGGACGTTCCTTGCCGACCGCTTCGCCCTGGGAAGCGTCGAGCTCCTGGGTATGCAACACTTCATCCTGCGCGCCGGCTTTGCCTGGATTCTCGCGTCGACGATTGCTCCGCTGCTCGTGAGATCGTGAAACCATGTAGGACGCTACAAAAGGTGAGTAAGCGCCACGCATGACCATGCCGGTCTGTGGAATTAGATGAGGTCTTCCGTCAGAGAGAGAGAGACAGGAGGCCAGGCCAGACACGTTTAGTTTCTGGATAAAACACGTCGAAAAATACAAGCAAAAAAAGAAATAAAATGATTCCAAACTATCTCCCGGAACGTCCCAAAACGTGGCGCAAGGGGAAAACATGCAAGTTTCTCCAGTCGATTTTAGGCTTCATGTAGGTAGACGGTGATCAAACATGCGACCGCCGTGCCGGACTGCGTCGCCCAGCGTCTAGATCGTCCTGACGCGAGTGAGTTGTCTCCGTGGCCCGTCGTCATTGGGGGAGAGAGCTTGCTTTCCTCTCTCTCTCCCCTCAGATAAGGCCGGGCGGGCCCCAAGGCAAACATGACAGGTCACCCACATATTCGTTTAACCTGATGTGCTCGTTGCAGCAGACATACGCAACTCTGATGACGGTGCATCTTGTCTGCCGCGGAGATGCCAATGGGATGCCACCAATTTTGTTAATCCATCAAACTGTGGAGCTGTGTATTCATGTTTGCGTTCCGGTACAGGCGGTATTTCAAATACCGCCATCGTGCATGGTCTTCCACGGTGGATACATATCCGGCGGGATTTTCGTTGGCTTTTCGAGGGGGCGGTGACGCCGCATTGCATAGTATTTGCATAAGGTCCCTTTCGCTGGTTGGGGTCACCTTACCTTGCCTTTTCTGGCCCTGGGCAAGCTTTGGGACAGCAAGCTACCTCCCAGACTCTAGTCCTGCAGCTTGCCCTGTCCGTGTCCTTACCCGTCCTTCTATCGTTCGGTCTGAAGTCCCTCTCACCAGGGAGAATTTGTCAAAAGGAGAGTTTGTCCGATGTGCCACTTTGACAGATATCAGTCATCCAATAACGCAACGGCCGCTGGTGTATGGTGTAAGGTATGGATGGTGGCAGCTTACTCGGGCTTGCCTCCCGATCTTCAAATGGAGCTTACCCGGCGCTCACTGCCCCGCCATGAGTGGTTCCCCGACTTCTGGGAGGCCAGGGGATCATGGAGGGGGAGCCGCGGGTGGATGTCTTGGGGGTTTGGGTAACGTCACGCGCCCCATGAGGCAGCTGGCCCAGAAATCGACTCGTACCGTATCTGGTGGCTGCAGCTTCCCCATCTGTGATGATTTGCGAAGCCCTCGCAGGTGCGCTTGGCTCAACCACGCAGTCGGCAAGCCGTGTGGTGTTTGGCCTCGACTCGAGGTGCCGGGCGCTAAGGTAGGCAGGTAACTACCATTGCTAGCCCGGGCACCCGCTGCTCTGGCGTAGGTAGGTAGTGTGCTTAAGGTACCGGGAAGGTGCAGGAGCGCTAGGACAGGCCCCGCATCAAATTCCAAATCGTCCCGTTGTCAAGGCGGGGCAGCTTTCGAGAATGCCTCCAACACTTCGAGAAGCTCGACGCCCGAGCTGTCAGCAAACCGCAGCTGAGGATAAACGAGAACTCATCCAAAGCTTGATATTAGATGATGGGGATGGACTCAAATGACAAATACGCATGCCAAAAGTGAATTGAGAGCTTTGCCCCAGGAGCTGGCCGTCAACGTTCCAAAACTGAGGTTCGGTTTGATCTCCCTCTGCTCCGGGCCCCTCCGTGTGCCTCCGTGGGGTTGTTTGTTCGACTTCGAGACAGGAACATGCTATGCTCGCCTGACTAGGAATAGCTCTGTCGTGACACGCATCCCACGCGCTGCAGTCTTGATTGGAACCCCAGGAGGGATCGATGACTGTCCATCGTCGTGTCTGAGCAAGAGTGTTTCTTGTCTCCCGTCACGCTGCCCTGTCCAACAAACGTGAACAAGGATGGTTTGTCCAACGACACTGAACATGACATGCCAGGATGCCAGGATCGCCATGGCCTGCAGCGCTGACAGAAACGTTTCTTGGCTGAGGTGGGCCCTTCTCCTCACTGCCCCTCGGAGGCGTTCGAGCAAAACTTCGTCGTCCATGTTGCGTTCGAGGTAGAAGCCATGGTTCAGGCGTACAGCCACGGCGCAGGCGTCGAGGAGACTTCGAAGACGGTCGATGTCGTGTATATAAGAACAGGTCCGTGGTCTGCCATCGACACAGCATTTCTTTCGTCACTCTCCCGGACAAACGAACTCCCTCGCAAGAAAGCCTTCCCCAACAACATCAGCTTGAGTCGCGTCGGTAGCCATTCCGCCGTCGGAAAACTCCAATTTCACGGTTTCGGTCCATCTCCCCACCTGTCCGATTCTACCCCAAGTCTCGATAGGGTAAGTGACGTCGTCATAAAGAGGTCAGCGCGCAAGGCGCCAGGGAGCCACCAGCTAAAACTTGCAGCGGAATCAGATCAGAGATACCCCGCCCCCTCCATCGACAGAAAACAAAAAGGGCTCGTCCCCGTCTGTAATCGTTCGGTAGCCTTCACGTCGAAGTTTGCTGCACTGCACTGTCTCTTGTCAACTCAAAATCACCTTTCTCGAAGCTTAAGAACCCTTCTCTGACCCCAGCCTCATCGTACATCATGCCTCTGTCCGGACACTGCCTTTGCAAGGCCGTCACCTACAAGGTTGACGTTGACGCCCCCCTCATCACTGGTTATGACCACTGCGATGACTGTCAGCGCCAAAGCGGCTCAACCTATTGTGAGTAGAACCTAATGACAGGCCGATCAGCAGCCGAGAGCGTGCTGGATCGTTTTCGGATGAATGATCTCCTGGGCAACTCTTTCCCAACGTCTTGCTGACTCTGAGAAGCCCTCGTTGTCGTCGTTCCAAAGGACAAGCTTACCATCAACGGTCCCACCAAGAGCTGGGCTGGAAAGGGCTCTTCCGGCAAGGCCGTCCACCGTATCTTCTGCTCTGAGTGTGGCTCTCCGATTGCCCACGACCCCGATGCGGCCCCAGAGATCATTGCTCTGAAGGGCGGAACCCTCGACTCCGAGATCAAGAAGACATTGAAGCCTGTGAGTCGCGCCATCGCTCTCTGGCGTCGCCGTGCGCGGCACGATAAAGTGCAAGCCGAAGCTAACCACCGACTTTTAGGATACCGAAATTTGGACCGTCGGCAAGCTGCCCTTCTGCCAGGAGCATCTGGAGAAGCCTTTCGAGCACATGCCTCAGTAAATGCCGGTCATAGCTGGCGACGCAGAAGAAAGAGAAGTAGATATGGAACACGGAATCCAGCATGACGAAGGGTCTAGGGTCGGACTTATATCCATAGAGGGGTCCTTGACTAGGATGCCTTTAGGTGTGCCCAGGTGGAGTGCCCCAGGTTTGGTGCTGCTGCGAAGTGGGTTGGAGTGAGAACCCGGAGGGTTATGATGGAATCGGACCCAACTCAACCAGTCCGACCCAGTTCCGTCGTTACCTAGATCCTCCAAGATAGCGGGAGCGTCCCTTAAGAAGGACCCTCTCATGCAATGAAAGAAATAGCTCTCATCCGCTGGCTACAACCTTTCTTTTGATTCGCTGCGTCCGTTGTGCGGCCCGTGGCAGGCATCAAGGAAGCTTTGATTTAAGTCGCACCTACTTTCAGAAGTGCAATCGCATCAACACCAAAAAACGGCAATTTAGAGGAAACGGAATTTTGCATGGCTCGTTACTACTTCAAATCGTCTGTTTCATCCTCATTAAGCCTGTCAGTCCGTGAACAACTTTCAATTCTAAGTCTCCTTCTCAGCAACATGTCCTTACAATCCAGCGAAAACAGCCAAACCAGCGGCACCGGCGACAAGACCACCAGCAGCGGCAAAGGTAGGCATAGCACCGCTGCCAGAAGAAGAGGAGCTGGCGGCAGCGCCAGAAGCTGTGCCAGAGCCGGCCGAGGTGGTGGCAGCCGACGTCGAGCTGCCCGACGTCGAGCGGGTCGTAGCGGTGTTAGTGGGCTCCGCGGTTGTGGACTCGGCGGCGGTCGTCTCGCCTCCGGTGCCCGCCGCGCTGGCAGCTGCTCCGGTTATGCTGCCGGGTCCTTGGGGACCACTGGCCGTGTAATACAAAGAGATGGCCGTGTTACTGACGGCGCGGTCACTAGTGGCAGTGCCCCCGGTGGTGACAGGAGTGGCAGCCTGTTGGATAGATGAGTAGACGCTGGCGAAGACGGCTGTGGGAGTGCCGGTGCAGAGAGCGTTGGAGGCTGATGACAGAATGCCACTATAGTACGCCAGGTCTCTTTCGCTCCTCAGACCATGAACGTAAAGGCAACGTTCGCAGGCAAGCTTCTCGGCGAAGAAGGAGCCGCCGCACATGCACTGGGCATGGGCTTCGTAGTAAACGGCGTCGGTACCGTTAGGTTTGCAGGCGACCTCAATGTTCTCAATCTGGACACAAGGGGGCAGTTGGCCAGTTGTCTCGGGCTTGCAAACCACATCCTGGTAGGGAGCCTTATCCTGACGGGCGCCCAGGAAGCTCGGGGTGTAGAAGGCCATGGCCGTGGACGGAAGAAAGGCCGTGAGGCCGGAGAGGATAGTCGTCTGTCTCATGTTGTTCGTCTGGGAGGAGCTTTGCAATTGCGGTGTCGGATACCAAAAAGACAAAAAATTTGTTTAATGGTGGGGTCAATGATATCAACGTCCTCAATATGGGTATTGGGGATGAAAATGCGTGAGGTCTTGGTAGTGTAAGTCGTGATGCTAACTGTGGGTTGGGAATGAACAGATCATGTTGGAAGAAGAGCTCGACGGCGAAGACGACCACAGAAAAGTGGGAGAAGGACGAAGAAATTGGCCGACGATGGACTCGCTGCCAAGGGAAGCAGCAGTCCAAATCACGAGGTGCCTGACGCTTGCCGAATTGTCTGCCTAAACAGCTGGGCACCTTTCCCAATCTGCGTACCTTACCTCCCTCGCCTTGTTCGTGCAGCATCATGGGTTGGTGCAGGAGCGAATGCGTGGGCTGCCATCTTGGCCACAGCCAAACGGGAAGGCGTCGCGGGTGCGCCGTACAAAGTTTGGATCTTTCGTACGACACCATGCCCTTTTGACGCGGAGCTTGGCAGCTTGGGTCAGAATTTTGCCGTCATTACCGTCAAAAATGCGCTATTAAAGGGACACGATGTTGGTTGAGAATGTCGAACGAGAGCTTTGGCGGCCGACTATCTCACCGCGGAAATTGATCTTGCGGCACAGTCAATCAGTGACTCGATGTGCTGTGATTGACCAGTCACAGAAGGGGGAGCTCTCGCACAGAGTTGCACCGGGGGGCATTTCTTTCCATTTAGAGACTGGATCGACAGGGATCAGCTGCATGGTTCTTTAAGCTCGGGCGCAAGACGTGGAGCCCGGGGAGCTCAACACAGCAAATACATCGCCGTCTTTCTGCTCCTCCCTCTTGCTATCCCACCACGCTCGGAAAAGAAGCGATCGTAGGTAGGTACTCGAGACGTGTGCGACGTACTACATTCCACAACATGCTACTCGAACAACATTCAGGACGACCCTGTCCGTCATTTGCATTCTTCTCTACACTTATCGTCCTTAAAAAAGTATTAGGTGACGATTGAAGCCATGGGACACTGCCCAGCTAGCAATGACTCTTACGGATATAGCCGTCACCCAATGGTCAAGTGTCTATCAAGAGCAAATAGCACGAACATGGGCAGATCTGCCTCTGCCCTTGAGAAAGTTGAGAGCACGCAGAGATTTGTACCAAACCCCCTTACCCCGGACTTTCCTTCCAGCTGAATTAAGCTTGATTGCCGAAGCATGGTCTAGCCTGTTCATCCATGTGGATGCTTCTCCAAGCGGAAGACACCCGGACGATCATCTTGACACGGCCGCTCTTGTGAGAGCCACTGCATAGAACGTTGCTTGCAACAGCTTGCAACATCAAACGATGATAGACAGGGCTCAAGACGTCCAACACAAATGCAGACCTTTCTGTCTATTTTCGATGGATTCTTGGCTATCCACTCGGTTGTATCAACTTGAATCCAGTAACGCACTCTAAGGGCCTGCGAGGTTAGCTTGATGCTAAACTTCGCCGGACTCGACGCCTCCGACTTCAGCCCTACTGCTGGCGTGCTCCGCTGCACGATACGCTATCCCAACGACCTCGACTTTCATTGTTCTCGCGCTGAGGCTTGCCTCGCAGCTGACAAGACATTGCAACACAGGGAGACTTGCCCGACCTCAGCCATAAGCAAGGCTGGCCATTCACATCAAACGTTTGTCTTTTTGAACCCCGAATTACGAGCCATGAGGCTTTGTTTCAACGGGACAATTCGCTGGTCTTCTCGGGCTTTGCTACACCAAGCCCGCCCTAGCTAGCCTCCTTGCAGCTGGCCATGCTCGGGCTGGCGTGCGAATCCGTCTGGGCAATGGCGAGGTCGCGGGGAGGCTACCAGCAAGACAGCTCGAATGTGAGTAGCCAAGAGTCTTGCGGCTTACGACGTGCTCAGAGGCGCCCGAAGACTTTAAAGCTGTCCTCCTTCCTCTATGTGCAGCCTTCTTGTCGCCAGGGCCTTTTCGTCTTCCTTATGCGATGAGCTTGGAAGGCACCTTCGTCGACCATGCATCTCCTCCAGATCTACACGTTGGCAATTGCTTGCTCCCCATTAGCCTCAGCATGGGGCAATCTCGAGCAGCGCCAGGCCTCTACACAGAGCCTGATCGATGCGCTGGGCAACTATACCGACCTCTCAAGCTTCCAGTCAATCTTGAAGAATGCACCGGGTCTCATCACTGCCAACGCCCAGAGAGGTGCCACCGTCCTGGTGCCGACAAACGAAGCCCTCGAGGCGTACGTGAAGCAGAACAATGCCACCAACATATCCCAGTTGCCGATCAAGAAGCTTTCGAGCATCTTCCAGTACCATACCCTAGACGCTGCTCTCACCTCGGCAAATTTCAGCGTCCCAAAGGGTCTCACGGTTCCGACGAAGCTCACAGACAAGGCTAATAACCTGCGAAGCCCCGGCCCCGCCTTGCTCCGCCAGTTCGGCGCGGAAGCTACCGGCCAGGTGCTTTACATCTCCAAGGATACCAGTGCCAGCGCCTCCAAATTCCGGGTCAGACAGGGGACTTCGGGTGAAAAGTCGGAGCTGCAGGCTGGCTTGGGCCAGACGGGGGAGCTGACTGGGATCGATGGGGTGTGGGACGGCGGCTATTTCCAAGTCGTCAACACGTGGGTTTCTCTGTGAACCATCACGACGGAGAGCTGCACTGACGAACTATGCAGTGTTCTAGAGGCGCCAGACGTGTGCTCCACGACGATCAAGAAACTCTCCGACACACTCTCTGGCCTCGACGCGGCGCTGCGAAAGGTCAGCTTGTGGAAAGAACTCGACAAGACACCCAACGTCACCTGTCTGGGTCCTAGCACCGACGCCTTCAATGCGGCGGGCAATCCGGAGAAAACTCTCAACAACACCGCTCTCACGAATGCATTGCTGTGAGTCTGGATCTCCAATATTGGATCCTTGGAAAACTAACGTGCGACCAAGCTTCCACACTCTTCCCGAGGTGGCATACAGCAACTTCCTGACCGACGGCATGAAGTTTACCAGTCTCCAAAACGCCACAGTTACGGTCACGGTGAAGGATAATCAGATCTGGTTCAACGACGCCAAGGTCATCCAGCCCAATGTCTTGTAAGTTGAACTCACCGCTGTAGAGCCGCCATCCTCTGACACTGTACTCGCTAGAACAAACAACGGCCTCATTCATGTGCTTGACCGCGTCATGTCTGCTGAAGGTGTGCCAGACACTTCTTCTTCGCCGTCCTCCACGTCTGGTTCGTCGCCATCAGGCACCGCTGGTCCTACCTCGACCAGCACGCCAGGCAATTTGGGAACCACCCTATCTGGCAATCTGCATGTGGCGGGTATTATCGCGTTTGCTGCTGTCATCTTGCTTATATAGAGTCGAAGAAACGCGATCAAAAATAAGATTTGGCTTTCATCATTAGGATGTCTACCCTCTGAGTTGTACTAATGACCCATTTCGCGACTGATGCTCTTCGTGTGTTATGCAAATTTCGATTCTTGAGACCCATCTCTCGTTCAGCCATTCGTTTCGTTTCGTTCGTAAAAAGATCCTTATAACGCCGCCCTATGCATCTTGTGTATACCTCAAAACAACGCAGCAAGCATTGACAATGCTACAACCGCAAAGGATGCAACAACTCTCGACCCAGAGTTGGGGAACTGCTTCTGTATCTCTCCTGTCTGTGTTGATGAGCTGGTGGTGCAGCTCGCCGTTCCACACGCATATCCGCTGGGGCAGCAGCCGGGGACAGGTCCTCCTTCCTCTCCGCACAAGAACCAACCGCCCGCACATGTCTCTGTCGCCGAGGCCGGAACGTCGGTAACAGGCACGATGACGGTCGCTCCGTTGGAGATGATGGTGGTAGATGGCGTGGGCGGACATGAGGTAGTAGCACAGTCTCGTCCTGTCTGGCAGCAGCCTCCACCAGCGCGAGCCAGGCAGGCGTAGAATCCTGTCGGGCAGAAAGGTGCCGTGTTGGTGTCCCCTTCGGTGGTGGACGTCGGTCTGAAGGGAGGGACTGCGCCGCCAGTGCTGACCGCCGTAGTTGCTGGGGCTGTTGTAGGGTTTGCAGGCGTCTCGATGGAGGTCGAAGTGCTGGTCGTCGTGACGGTTCCGGGCCGCTGCGTGACTGTGACGATGATGACCACGGTCGTGGTGCTACCATCCGCGAGTGTCGTCGTCGAGACGGTCGTGCTGGTGACGGTCCGGACTGAAGTAACAGTCCCCCCTCCTCCAGTGCTGCCTCCACCACCGCCGCCTCCTCCTCCTCCTCCACCACCTCCATTGGTGGCCGTTGCCGTTGCTGTTGCCGTCGTGGCCGTGGCAATATGGCTAGGCACACCTTCTTCAAGTCAGTCAAAGTCCTTTGGGAGTTTGAAAGTGTACTTACAGCCGGAACCCTGGCAGACGTAACCCGGAATGCAGCACCCGCCGCCGACATCCGCCGCACAGCTTGTTGTGCCAATGGGGCAGATTCCAACAGGTCCGTTGCAAGATGCGCCCGCCGGACAGCAAGCGACGTTTCCAACACTCTCATCCACCACCTTCACACACACCTCGTTGGTCATGCAGCACTTATCCGGCGAACCGATGGTCTCACAGCTGTTCATCTTCGTGGGGCAAGCTTGTCTTTTCTCGAGGAGGTTCAACACGTCGATGGCACGGCGGAAGTGCTCCCAGCCCAAACCAGCCTGGGAGCTGTGTGATGCAAAGGGCGGGCGATGCGGGTAGGAGGCGTTGTAGAGGAAAGGGTCGTCGGCCATCCGGGCAGCAAGAAGTTTCTCGTGAGGTGTCAGCGGCGTATCGAAGACATCCTTGGCGAAGGCAAGATCGTCGGGGAGCAGCTTCTCGCCGGCGTTTGGTGACATTTTGCGGATTGCCGTGGGGTTCTCTGCGCCGACATGGGCTGTAATAAGCAGCAGCAGAGACGAGGGAAGGCCGACAAGTGAGAAGGCCCGCATCGTGACGACTGTGAGGCCAAGCCTTCGTCAAGACCAGAAGTCGTTGTCTGTTGTGAGTTCTCAGAGTGTGTTGTTCGTGTGTTTAGTTTAGGTGAGTGACAGGCCGGCCCAAGCTCCGGACGCCAAGTCTTGAGTGTGTGCTTTTGGTCGATGTCAGTTAGACTGAGGTACTGATGAGCGTGAGGTCGATCGGAGATTTGGCGTGAGCGACGATCTTGCTGCAGAAAGATGTCGCTCGGATTTCAAGTAGCGTGCAGTTCTTTGATGGGAAATTGCAGAGGCGTCGGGCGTCTTGAGGTTTCGTGGGACAAGTCGGTGCGGGAAAGCGGTGGCTGGGCGACTGGGCAACCTGCAAGATGATGGAGCTGCTTGGGCTCGCGAAACCTCACCGCCCTGTATTCGTGTCTGATCCCGAGAGGCAGTCTGTGGTCCCGCAGCGAGACACGTCGCCGGGGGTATCAGATTTCAACAATGCGTTTGTTGCGTGGACTTTTCCCGTATTTTTGTCTAGGTTGGAAAAGAAGCTGATTGCTGCTGATCTTATCGACCGTTGAACAGAGGTGCTGCACTGCTGACAGGACCCCTTCCTTGCATGTTCTTTTTTTTTTCAGGTGGCTGGGCATGGATGACAGCTGCTAAAGATACGTCATCCAGGGCGAGGGCGGGTCGAAAAGCCGCCGGCTGTCAAGCTTCAGGGGAAGAGCCGGATGTCTCGCCCGCCGTCAGGGGTCTGGTCTAAGCTTTACCAGGGTAGCTTCAGAGGACCGGCGCGCCGGCTGGGAAACGCCTGCGCCGACGACTTGGTTTTGCCTTGCAGCAGCCGAGATCGCCAATCCATGCACGACGGGAAGTACTTCGAGTGGGCACTTACCGGTGCCTTGCAGATGCCGTGTTATGTGCAAGACTGTCCCAGACCATCATATATCACAATAGAGTCAAGCTGCCAGAAGAGAATAATTCATTTGTGCCGAGAGGTATTCGTATTCTATACATGGTAGTTTTACAGATGATTGTACAAATGTTACATCATGGCATTATGCTTTTCCTGTTGTGCACCAACTGCGCATCAAAACAGAGTCTCTCCACCGTCTGCTTTACGAGCATCGATGTGCAGCCTCTCGGTCAGTGTCAGAGGATCTTTCTGGCGCACTCCTCGCAAAAAGGAGTTGCAGAGCAGCGCCGCAGCAACGCTCACGTTCAAGCTGTCCACAGAGCTTGCGGTTGAAGCCACTCTTGGAATTGTGACCTCGTGCGTCGCCTTCTTCCTAATGTCGTAGGGAAGACCGGTGCCCTCGTTACCGAGAACGAGGATGCAAGGCTCTTTTTCAAGAGGTTTGAAGTCCTCGATGTAGTCCGGAGTCCACTGACGGTTCGAACGCGACCCAAGCGTGGGTGCAACGGCAGCGTATGACGTCCAGCCAGCCTCTTGCGAGAGACTCAAAAACCGCCCTGGGTCTTCAACAGTGAAGAGCTTGATCTCTTCCGCAGCCCCAGCCGCGGCTTTTAACACGGTGGATGTGATAGAAGAGGATGTCCGATCTGTAATGGCCACAGCTGACACGCCAAGGAAGCAAGCTGTACGAAGAATCGCACCCAAGTTACCAGGGTCCAAAATCTCGTTCAGCAGGAGGACTAGCGGCCGAGACTGACCCTGCCTGCAAGGGATGGAGCCTTCCGTGCCGTTGATTTCGAGGTCTTCCTTGGACTGGTGAGCCACGGAGACTGTGTAGCCGTTTGAATCGGCCGACAACCCCCCAAGGCTGACAAGCGGCAGCTGAGGGAGAGGAGATGCCTCGAGAACAAGACCGTTGTGTGGTCTACCCTTGCTCATCTTGTCCAGCAGCTTCTGATCGGCCTCGTAGACGCTTTTGACCTTGATCCCCTTCTTCTCTGCCATAGACACGATCCAGGCGTCGTCCTTCGTGTCCTTCTTGTTGCTCCCCTGGTAGACATACAGATTGTAAAGCTTGCGCTGAGAGTTTCTCAGAGCCGCCTTCACCACCGATCGGCCAAATAGAAACTGCGATGCTGCTGTCGTGTACTGAATCGACAGTGGGAATTCGGCCGGTCTGTTGGCGGAAGAATCGTCGTCTGATCCTCGAGTCTGTCTCCGAGGCGCAGCACCATCTCGCTCAAACTCCCTCCTTACGCCATCTCTCATCTGTCTCATCGAATCGCGACCACCGTCTCTTCTGGGAGTTGTCGATTTCCAATCTCCATCTCTTCTAGGTCTTGCCGAATTCCAATCACCATCCCTCCTCTGACTTGTTGAGTTCCAATCTCCATCTCTTCTGGGCTTCGAGGCGTCCCGATTGAGATCTCTCCATGCGGAGCCTGACCGCGGATATTCCGTCTTATCTTCATTCATCCCCTCCTTGTCCAATAGCTTGGAGACCTTATCCTTCAACTCGCCGCGGTTGAGCTGGTACACCATGCTCTTCTTCCCGAACGAATACTCTGGGTTGTTGAACCGCTTGCTCCTTGACTTTCTCCCTCCCTCCTCTTCTTCTTGCTCGCGCTCTTGCATCTTTTGAAACGCTTTCTTCGGCTTGAAATGACGTTCGCGACCGCCAATCGCGCCATTGAATTTGTTGGCAAAGGCATCCGGCTTCGATGGAAGATTTCGGCTCGGGTTACGACCACGAGACTCGGTCAGGCGGGGCTTGAAGTCTGGGCGTCTCGTGCGATTATCCTGACGATTTCTCGAATTCGGACTTGTCGCGCGACCGTTTGAGGAACCGGCTCTTGCCGACTGTCGAAGACCCCGATGGATACCTGAGAGAGATGCATGGCGCACCTGTCCGGTGGTGCCAGTGAGCTGGAAGGCTCTATGGGTCGTTGTATGCGGGCGAACGGCGCTCCATCTCAGAAGTTGACTCATCGCATAGCATGCATGGAGTAAGTCCAGGCTTCAGTACGTGTAGTGGTGTCGATGTCTTCCAACATGGCGACAATGTGCAAAACGTCGTAGCGCCCAAATCGCAAGTCTTCGATGGTGGCACTTTTTTTTTTCTGCCACATTCTTGCAGCAGGGACCCGAGCGGTAAGTAGACCCTGGCTCTCTGGTTGGCCAACGAGTCTTCGATGGGCCCTTTCCATCGGCGCAACCACCCCACCAAGAGCGGGCTGGCGGTACGTACCCGTGCTTTACACGCTACGGCAGCTCAACTTTAATGGCAACGCGGTTTGAGCGTCGCGTCGAAGTGTGAAGTCTTCCCAGTCTCAAAGGCCGTCCTTTCTCTGAGTGCGCTCACCCACAACCGATTCCCTGCCTTTGCAGGACAATTCTTCCATTTCATTTTCGCCTTCTTCTTTTCAGTCTTTCCTTCAAGCGACTTCTAAATATCCGACGCAGTCCGCGCGACACCCCACCCGCCCCGACCCTATGCCTTCACGTTCCGAGCAGTCGCATCA